CGGTGTAAATAATTATAAAATACTGTAATGCTAGAGATAAAATTCTGAAATTTAATATTTAGTTTTTTTTTTATGGCGAAGCAAACGTGAGCAACGTTTGGCCTAAGAACCCAAACCTTTTGGGGTTCTTATCTACACAGGAATTCTATCAAGTCAACTTGGAATTTTGCTGAGAGACTCACAATGAAATTTGATTTAAAATAATTCTTCCCTTGATACCTTCCCCAAAAATATGAAGTATTTTGACTCGTACTAACACATAATATTCAGTTTTACTACAAAAAAATTGAGTGTAATTTTCATAAAAACTCTTGAAATTACAATAGAAGTAGAGTCTTATTTTCTTTGGTTATTGGAGATTTTTGCATAAATTCACGCATAATATATATGCATTCCTATCATTTAAATAATATGTAGACTTTTGACGTCCCCGAGGACCTACAATAAGTAGCTGAACCCGGAGCGTTACGCACAATTTTATATACGAATATTTGTTGGTTAAAAAAATATGAATTCAAAACAAGTAAGCAAAGGCTATAGTCGTGCGGGGCCGACCATGTGATACCCTACAACACAACAATATGTTCCAAGTTCCCTTATATCTTATACCTTAGGTTTTTGACATGGAGAATTTGGCCAATATTTATGCACTCCGTAATGTTGTTAAGTATTCAAAACAATTTCACACGAAAGTTGTGGTCTATTTTACGGCTAAATATAATCCAATGGTCATCCAAAATGCTAGACTTCTTCCCTGTCCTTAACTCTCTTCTGATGCGAAATTCCGTGTCTATTGGGTTTCAACTACAAAATTTCGCGACTACAAAATTAGAAAACTTTAAATTTTTTTTGTCCATTTGAACCTCTAAAAGTAGATCTTAGGAAAAATAGGCTTTAATTCTGACCCTAACCCTACCGTTATACAAAATTTCGTGAGGATCGGACGATAATTGCGACATGCATATAGCACCCTCAAAACGGTGTGTTGCGAAGTGTAAAAATGTAAAAAATTTACAATTCAAAATTGGAAGTCAAATTGAAAAAATCGCATGCCATAAAAAATATAACAAAAATTGAAAACATGGAACAAAAGATGTTAATTTTTTTATTGCTATATTTTTCCTTGTATTTCCTAGATTTTATCCGTTGGGATGGGAATTGTGAAAATCGGCCCAGCGATTCTTGACTTATAAGCAGAATAAATAAGATATATTATTTTACATTTATATTGTACCTATTTTGCTATATGTTGGATTTCTTGGCTATCAGCATCACTTTAATGGTCAGAAGTGACCTTTTAATGTATTTGTGATATGGCTGGGATTAAAAATAATCGCGGTTTATTTTCTTATTTCTTTATATAAAAGTTAGGGTCTATTTTAATTTTTAATAATTTAATATTGTCCCATGGTCGCCCAAATTGGTAAGCTTCTGCTCAGTCCTAAACTCTAAAATTTCCGCGTCAATTGGTTCATAATTGTGGCCCACAGAACAACTGCAAAATCAGGAAATTTTTTCCGGTTTGGTCTATTTCAACCCCTAAATATCGTGCAATCATCTCCAAAAACAATAGGGTTCTATTCTGACCATAACCCCATGAGGATCGGTTCATAATTGCGACCTGTAGCTTGATTACAAATTAACATGGACAGACGGACAGACGGACGAACGGACATACATACCTAGATCGACTCAGCTCGGCGAGATAGGTTTCCTTATGTGGTGTTATATGGTTTCGAGGTGTTACATAATTATTGGCCCAATCAAACTTATAATACCCCCAACACTTAGTGTTGTAGGGTATAAAAACTTAACTATTGTAATATTTTAATGCGTAAACAAACAAATAGCTCGGTCTCCCAACGCGTGAACATGCCAGGATGCCTGACCATGAGAAAAGCAGGAGCATTCCAAATTAAGTCCACATACACGAAGGGTTTGTCCTTCGAATTTATGCTATGAAATTAGCAAATGCCAAGCGTGCATTGCAGTTAGTGAATTCGAGGTAACAACATACTTTCCCGTAATCATCGTATCCTCAATAGATTTGTTGGGTAGTTTTTTACTGTTAGCCTAATACAATTGCAAAAGCGTTGTTGGTCAATGCTTCTAAATCAAATCATAGCACAATCTGAACCGATTTAAATATAATTTGACCAAATTTACTCTTACACCAAATTCCGTCACGCCTTCCATATTTCATTGAAGTTGGAGGTACGTACCGTGTTTGGTGCATTAAATATGTGAAATCGGGAGCTAAACCCAAATCTTAACCGATTTCAAATTAATTTGTCATATTTATTATTGTAACCAAATTCCGCCACACATTCTGAATTTCATTCGAATCGGACATACATATCGTACTTGGTGCTAACATACACGAAATCGGCCGAAATATATATGGGATCCATATCCAAACCTCAACCGATTTCAATATAATTTGACAATTCTTTTTTTGGTATCAAATTTCGTCTCTCTGTCCGAATTTCATTGCAATCGGAAAAAACATGTCGCGTTTGGTGCATCAAATATGTGAAATTCCGTCACTCATTCCGAATTATATTGGAATTGAACATACATACGAAAATGTATATGGGAGCTATATCCGAATCTAAACCGATTTCAATATAATTTGGCAGACAAATTTTCTAGAAAAATTCTATCACACATTCCAAATTTCATTGAAATGAGGCCTACACAGAATGTTTAATGCATCAAATACATGAAATCGGCCGAAAATATATATGGGAGCTATACAAATCTGAACTGATTTCAATTTTGGAGAATCAAATTTGGAGACTGTATCTGTAATCGATCAATAGATATGTGCATATTAAATCTAATTTTTTGGGAGATACCTCCGGTTCTGATGCTATATCTCCAGTTCCAAGTGGAATTTCAAAAATTGATATAGCCTATGTTACTTTCTGGAGATGTTGTAGTATACTTGGAAATTTTCCGTTTTCAATTTCTGTGCAGCGGGTTTCAAGTCCATAAATTATACACAAACATAAAAACATTTTCCTCTTTTATAGATATAGATTTGAAAAATATTCTGATTTGCAACGATTTCGTTGAATGGGAGTTTTTAACTATATTTTCAAATCAAGATCATAAAAACTAGATTGAGGGTTAAAATAATCCAAATAATCCTCGAGTTTTTATCTGTAACCGAAGTAACTATATATCTAAAATCAACATTTTTCTGTTTTCTATTATACCCTCAACCAGCCATATGGCTACAGAGAGTATATATCATTTGATACGGCCAAAATTGACCCTATCGAAATAACGTTTTTAAACCCCAGGTCTCTTTGGATCAAATCTATTACAGGACACTTGGAGTCGATCTAGAGTTGTCCGTCTGGTGCGCAAAATAACTCTCGAATTAAGTATTCGATTCTGTCCAAATTCAGATCAAGTTCAGATATAGGCAACATCGGTTCACTCCATCCGGTAACTCTCCACAAAAGGTCACCATTTTCAAAGAAAATAGTTAAATTTCGCACATCTCAATATTTCTACTAATACAGAATTTGGTGAAGGTGGGCCCACTCCTTCTGGTAACTCCACCACGACCGATCAAAATTTTAAATAGCCATGAAGCTGTTTAAACGCCTAATGACAATCCGATTCCTTTCAAAGCCCGACACATCTCAATATTTCTATCAACACAAGATCTGGTGCGAAGATGATACACAGGGTGAGATAAAAAAACTGTAACAAAGTCAAACGCCAAAATTTTTTACATTTTTTTAATTTTATTGAATGAAAGCAAAATATTTCGGAATTAGCATCAAATTTTAGAATATGTTTAGAATTGTTCGAATTGGTCACCTTGCTTGAGGTGATCGACACTTTGGTATGTTTTAGTGCCAACCTTGCTTTTCAAAATACTACAGACACAATAGTCCAACGGATTGGTATTTTGGTGGCCATTTTGGGCTGGAAATGAAGCAAGGAACCTCATTTTGTAACCATTCTTGGGTGGCGCGTCCTGAGTGCGATGATGCTGAGTCCTGTTGGAATGTGCAAAGTCTGCGGCCAAAATGTTTGCGTGCCCAAGGCTTTAATACACCCTCCAGAATATTTTCGTGATAATATTTGGCATACATTCTGATGCCACGGTCGATTAATACGAGCGGAGAGCGACCATCGGCTGTTATGGCGGCCCACACCATCACAATGGCCGGCGCTTGAGTTCTGGTGGCCAACCGAAGATGCACATTTTCAGCTGCCCTCTTTGGCAAGTAAAAACGATCGTTTTGTTTCTTTACAAACTGCTGGACAACGAATGTTTTCACATCGGAGAAAACCAAATTCGGCAGTTCACCACTTTCGGCCAAGCGAAGCAACGCTTTAGCTCTTTTGAGTATATTTTCTTTCTGTTGCGGTGTAAGTTCTTGCACTTTTTGGAATTTCAATGGCTTTACCCCGAGCTCATTTCAATTCAATATTTGCCGAATGCAATATTGCGATATGTTCAGCCCACGAGCCATTTTTCGGCCACTGCGAAGCGATTTTCGATCAAGTCGCTTCTTCTTTACTTTTCGAACCATTTCTGCTGATGTTGCTGTTTTCTTCCGTCCACTTCCTTGACGTCGGGCTATGCTACCGGTACCACAGTAACGAGCGATGGTACGAGACACAAAAGATTTATTCACATTTAAATGCTGCTGGAGTGCTCTAACGATAGCCACTTGTGGTTTTCCAGCCAAATATAAAGAAATCACACTATCACCCTTGAATTGACAATATAATGAGCTGTCACTGGAATAATTTTAACAGCTGTCGGACGAGTGGCTTAGAAATGACAGCAGTCTGAAGTCGGTTGCAGTTTTTTCATCTCACCCTGTAATACCACTAATATTTCGTTTAATATCGATGTGTGTTTATTCCCATGGACACATCCAATATGACCTTAGAAATCACAAAAAAGACATGTTTTGTGCAATAAACGCTTTATTTTCTAATTATCTGTGGTTAAACTTTAATTGCAAGTCTGTACTAAGCAGACTTGAACAGATTTGTAATTAATTCTTCATTTATAGAATTTCTATACGATGCTACTACTTGCTACTGTGTCTGTGCCACTAAATTTAATAAATTTTTTTCTTAACAGGCTGCTTCTTCTTGTGCTGTTGTTGCCAAGTTTTTTCGGTTTTCAATTAACAAATTCATTCAGGATCATGGCTGCAGTATAAATAGTTTTTGTCAACTGCAGCGCAGAGTTCATGCTCAGCGGCATAAAACCGCCCACAGTCATAGTGGGTGCCTGCTGCGACTTCCTTAGCATAAGGAGTATCATTTTTTGTTCCGTCACCGTGAGTTCGTACCAATTACAATCGTAAATGATTCGAGTGAGATCATCATTCTGAAAGAAGCATCCATTATTAGTTAATCGTTTGAAAATCGTTAATCCGTCCTTTACTCAACTGAAATCTCTATCAAATTCCCAAGGCCACAAAACATATACATGATGGCAAAACAGTACATCATGTAAACGGGAGCCGCTGGCCAAACGCCCAAAAACTGGCATACCATGATGCAAATAATGGCCAATGTTGAGGCAAATATTTGCACGAATATAACCCAAAAGAACGTGTCGGTACAATTTTGGGCAAACCTATGGTGGCAAGAAAGAGAATTAACATAGGTATGTTCGTTCATTCAAAGCTACGTATAAGGGTTTGATGTTAAACTTACGTGACTATCCGTAAAATTTAGTAGATAATGGGTGAGAAATTTTTATGAATTTCTGTCCGGAATTTATTTCACAGGAATTGAATGGTTTACCTGCCTACATTATACCTGCATATCTGCTTTTTCAGATTAAAAATCTTCTTAAACAATTTTTCGCAAGTGTCTTCTACTTCGTCAGTGAAAAGCCCACCTTAAAATTTCCAAATTCATTCCAACAGTTCGTGTTAGGCAAAATTCAAAATTTAAAATTTTTTCAGTTTGACAAAATTTTTTTAATCAAAACCTCATACATTGTACTACATTTTTAGACTTCTAGGGTTTTATATAATTATTCAAGTTTTTGCTTTTTTCGGAAAGAATAATAGGAAAATGTTTACCTATTGCACCAAAAACTCTTCAAAAGCTTTCATTTTGAAGTTTACCGAGGAGGATATTAATAAAACCACTGCACAATGGAACCACATTCAATTTTTCTGTCGAAAAATACTGCAACGTCTCCATTTGTAAACCCTAGAAAGCAAGAGTGATCAAAGCTCTACCTCTCCACCTAATACCACATATAGAAACATCTACTACGCATATCAAAAACAATCTACATCTCTCCATCCTAGACACCACCAGTGATCCATTTGCAATTGGAAATCCATCACTACCTACCAACAGAGACCTTAAAATCAAATTTCGGTATTCCAGCTCTATACATTCACTTAATACCAAACATAGTAACATTTAGTACCTTTCGTACAATTACAGTACCCATTTTCAAAATCATATCAATATCTCAAACCCAGATATCAAGAGAGACCTGAACATCAAATTTCAGAACTGTATCTCTATCCCTTCACTCAATACCAAATTTAGTGCCATTTTGTACTTATCGTACAATTGTAATACAAACCAAATACCAAATTTAGTACAATTTCGTTCAAATGTTGAACCCATTCCCAAACAACCACCAAAACTCAAACACAGATACCATCAGTAATCTAAATATCAAATTTCACAAATTTATCTTTATCCCTTCAAATATTGTACCATTTAGTACTTATCGTACAATTATAGTACACTTTTCAAAACCATCACCACATGTCTAGGTTACACATTAACAGCGACCGTAATACCATATTTCAGATTTCAATTACTATCTGGTCAACCAATAACAAATTGTACCAAATTTAGTATTTTTAGTACTTTTCGTGAACTTGTGGTACACCTTTCCAAAAACCACTTCTTTATCACAAACCCTAATACAAAATCTCAAAACTCCAATTTCATCCGTTCACCCTAAAGCCAACTGTTCCAACTGCAGGACCATTTAGTGCAGTTCGCACACATTTCCAAAATCACCTTCATATATACCAAGGCATACCAATTTTGTAGGAAATAACGGTTTTAGCCCCTTGGTCTCTTTGGACCAAATCCGTTTCAGGACATTTGGAGTCGATTCTGCGATGTCCGTCCGTCCGTTTGTCTGGCGGACTGGTGCGCACGGTAATTCTCGTAGGAAGTATCCGATCTGGTCCAATCTTGACACAATGTCATATTATTATCAAACTTAGATCTAGTTCGGAGATGGGCAATGTCGGTCCACTTCATCTGTTACTTCCCCCAAAGAAGTTCGAAATTTAAAAAAAATAAATAAATAAATTTTTGCACAAAAAGAGAAACGATAATTTGATTGTGCTCCAACTTTGCAAATCCTAATATTTGCATCTGCGCTAGGTCGGGTGCGAAACAAGACAATATCGGTTCACTCCATCAAGTACCTCCCCCACAAAGGGTCAAAATTTTGAATAATTATAAATTTTATAAAATGTGATGTCCGATTATATTTAAATTACACATATCTCAATAATTTTATTAACCCACGGTCTGGTGCCAAGATGGAATACATCGGTCCACTCCTTCTGGTACCTCCCCCACAAGTTGGTGAAATTTTGAATATCCATTAAGCTCATAAAACGCGAAATTATTAACATGCGATTCCATTTAGACTTGACACATCTGAATATTTCCATCAACATAGGATCTGTTATAAAAACGGTAGAGATCTGATCACTCCTTCTGGTACCTCCGCCACAAAGAGTACAATTTTTGAATATCCATGAAGCTCATAAAACCCGAAATTAACATCCGGTTCAATTAAGACTTGACACATCTCAAAATTTCTATCAACACTGTTATAAAGATGGTAGAGATCGGACCATTTTTTCCGGTACCTCCCCCATAAAGGATCAAAGTAATGAATAACCAATACGATTACAAAATCCGAAATAAGCATCCAGTTCTCTTCATATTTCACACATCCCATTATTTTTATTAACTCAAGATCTGCTGTGAAGATAGGATATATCGGTCTACTGCTTCTGGTACCGTCCCTACAATGGGTACGCCATGAGCCATGAGGCCCATAAAACGCCATTCAGACTTGGTACATCTCAATATTTCCATCAACACAAGACTTGCTATAAAGATGGAAGAGATCGGACCATTTCTTCTGGTACCTTCCCCACATAGGGGAAAAACTACACGCTCCAAGAAAACAGAATAAGCATCCAACTCTCTTCAAATTTCACACATACAAACATTTTTGCTAACGCAAGATCTGTTGTGAAGATGATATATATCTGCGAGCCCTTTGTGGCACCTCACCGTCAAAGGGTCACAATTTTCAATACTTGTATCTGTCATAACTTGCGAAGTCAGTCAGCCATTCTTTACAACTTGCTATATCTAAATATTTCTTTCAACCAAAAACCTGAGATGAATATGGAATTTATGATTGAATTTGGAATTTATGACTGTGTTTGATGAATTCTGTGATCGGATGATTTTAACTTCCTTCTGATAAAAATGTCATTCATCAGGAAGAAGTGAAATTTCCCTCTTTAAATTTTACAAAACCCATAATTATGTTCAAAAGACCTCTCTCAAACCCATTATCTACTCTGAGTCAAAAACAAAACCAAAACACTAATAATTACTCAACTTACATTGTAGACTTCTGATGCCATTGGAAAATCTCCCTTAGCAATGGCTCAGTCCTATCCACATCACGTGGATATTCCTTCAATACTTCATCCAAAGCATCAAACTTCAACTTGAGGATATTTTTCATCAACGGAACGTGGACAATGAGGAGAACCATCAAAGTGTCATTGGCAAAGTTTCCGAACGAGGCAAAGCCCACCACACAGAAGTGGTAAAATTGATAGGTGTAGAAACCAAAGTCGGTATGCTTATCAATGCCAGGCACAAGAAGGGCTATAATATCGATTTGCTGTCCCAGCAGCAGGTGGTAAAACAGTGGAACTGCCAAAACGCCAATGGTTTGTATGGAATATATGTTCAGCAGGCTGAAGACAGCTCGCTTGATCAGTGACAAAGTGTGTTCCAGGTACTTTATATAACGTTGGTCTTTGCATTCATATTCCTCGTACATGGTCAAGATTTCCGCGATAAGGGAACGTATGAGACTGGCGTGATAAAGACCATTGACAAGTTTGGTGGCGCCCTAGAAAAGGAGTTTAGTTTTTAAGATACCTACCCGCAAGTTCTTTTTTTTTTTGTTCACAACATCTCACCTGTATTGCTGATCCGGTGACACATAGCAACTGAAGAATTTTCGTGTAGTCATTGTCAATCACCACACCCACATACATCGTGTAGGAGGTAAAAATGAAAAAGGTTGCAATAACTCCAATGACGAACCAAGTCAACGCATTGAGCCTGTAATCTGGACGGAAAATATTTGCTCCACAAACAATGGCAAATATTTTAACGACTCTAACAAAATTAGAAAAACGTTGCGACGGTGTCAACTTTAGTTTTGTTGCCATTTTAGCCGTCGGCAAAGAGCGAGCAAAGAGATAAATGATTTTCTATAGAACCTCCTTCTGTAGGTCTAGAACGTGGAATACAAGGCGATAAAAGGTAAATTTCATGGAGGTACAGAAGAACCTTGAAAACCTTCGCAGTCAAGAATGTAAGGCAATTACAGTTTGAAATTCCTTAGGTTTAATTACCGGGCGTGTTCAGTTTCAATTGAATGCCGATGGATAAATTAATCAAGTCTTTAAGCGTTTCGCAACAATGTAAGAAACTGCACAAAGTGAAAAACCTATGCTTCCGATACTTTTCTGTATCAAAAAATACTTTCTATGAATGCATTGAAAGGGCTTTGGGCTATGCGTGAGATTTGGATTAATTAAAGGTTTCATCCTGAAACAAATGGGAAATTCCATTTCCACCGTCCACTTTGAATGAGTGGGATGATAGAGTACAGTGGGAAATATTTTACCAGCAGAAATTTTGTAGACACTGTGCCATTTTCACCATTATCCAGTCAAAAAAGGCGTGACCAAAAAATGTGAATATTACGAACATTTTGGCGTAATTCTTTTGGAAAGATTTTTTACTGATCTATGAGGATTGTTCAGAGGGAGGAACGGATCCGATGATTTAATTGGAAATTAATTTAATATTTTTACAGGTAGAAATCGAAAATTACAGAGCGAACTTTTATATTTGCACTTATGTTTTATTTAGTGAAATTACTCATTACAAATCTGGTTACCAACCCATGATTTTAACAAAGCCCTGTAAATAGTAAAAGTCAATAAAGTCAATAAGCCAAAGTCGATAAATAAGTAGCCCGATTTTAAAGCATTCGTTCATTTTAGTCAGCAGAGTTTCCGATCAACAAACATTGCCGTAAATGATTGTGGTGTAGGTAGATCTTTCGGCCCATTGTGATCATCCTGCGTGAAAAGAAAAGGAATGAGGAATGACAGGTGACAGATAATTAGAGAGAAAAGAACAAGTTTTAAAGCAGCAAGTTCGACCGGGCTGAACTTTGAAACCTCCACCATAATCAAGGAATTGACAAATTTTCAAAAAAAAAAAAACAACCGTTGAAAAATACCGCTAAAATCATAACAAGTAAAAAATATAAGATCGGCCGGACTTATAAAATCCTACGCCTTTGAGCAAAGAAAATATCTTTATGTAAAATTACCTGAGTTCAAACGTGTTCCACTTTAAACTACAAATACCAGTAATACCGTTGGGATAATGCTGCTGAACTTTTCAAAAAACCATAAAGTGGGTGAGGCCGTTGTATGGGGGCCATACCAAAACTGGAACCTTAATAGACAATTTTATATTTCAAGGATTGTCATCTACCAAATCTTCTTAACTACCAAATTTGAAATTGAAATTTCGTGGTAAACGTGACTAGAATTATCAAAATACAGAGTATCGGTGGGTATCGTTACATGTGTGTTATAGGAAAAACGTAGACCTAAATTTTCAATGTTTTGCCGCCGGAGTTAAAACCCATTATGAACTACAAATACTAATCTTTAGGCAAATCCGTGAAAAAATATGTGGCAAAAATCATCAAAACACCGACTATCGGGAGGTACCGTTATATGGGGGCTATACCAAATCGTGGACCTATACAGGGTGAGATGAAAAACTGCAACCAACTTCAGACTGCTGTCATTTCTAAGCCACTTGTCCGACAGCTGTTAAAATTATTCCAGTGACAGCTCATTATATTGTTTACAAGTGTACAAAAACATTTTGGTGAGAATTTTCCGGAAAAAAAAGTTATTCGTGATGGATTTCAAGCGTGATAGTGTGATTCCTTTATATTTGGCATGGTAGCCCGACGTCAAGGAAGTGGACGGAAGAAAACAGCAAGATCAGCAGAAATGGTTGGAAAAGTAAAGAAGAGATTTGATCGAAACCAGCGTCGCAGTGGCCGAGAAATGGCTCGTGCAATATCGCAACATTCCATTCGGCAAATATTAAAAAATGAGCTCGAGGTAAACACCGCTACAGAAAGAAAATAGACTCAAAAGAGCTAAAGAGTTGCTTCTCTTGGCCGAAAGTGGTGAACTGCCGAATTTGGTTTTCTCCGATGCATTCGTTGCCCAGCAGTTTGTAAACAAACTAAATGATCGTGTCTACTTGCCAAAGAGTTTAGCTGAAAATGTGTACCTACGGTTGACCACCAGAAGTCGAGCGCCGGCCATGGTGATTCTGTGGGCCGCCATAACAGCCAATGGTCGTTCTCCGTTCATATTAATCGACCGTGGTATCAGAATAAATGCCGAATATTATCGCGAAAATGTTCTGGAGGATGTATTAAAGCCTTGGGCACGCAAACCTTGGACGTAGGTGTCATTGGGCTCACTTCCATTTTTCCCAATGAAATCGGTTGGTAAAATGACTTAAAAATGCCGTAAAGTTTCCGGCTTTAGTGGTTATTATCTATTGCGAGTTTCAAATACCAAATTAAAATATCTACTAAAAATATTTGGCTAAAATCACCAAAATGCCAAATATCCCCTTATGAGCGATACTACAAATAATGAGTCTATTCCAGCAGTCTTTTGCCACAGAAGACAGAACTAGCTAAAATCATCAGAATACATGATATCGGAAAGTGCTGAAACATGGGGTGCTATGGCAAAGCGTGAACCAATAAAGGCAATGATATGCCGCAGGAGGTAGAACCCTTTACGAACCCGAATTGTAAACAACTCCCTTAGAAAATGAGTTTTAAATCGTCAGAACATCAGGGATTCCCGTTACATATGGCTATAGGATAATTTTCTGCCACAAGAAATAGAACCCTTACAAACTATAAGTAACGAATTTTAAGCACTTCAGTTTGAAAATTCGGCTTAAATCCTCCCATCCAATTCAGTATATCGGGAGGTAATGTTATGGAGGGGGGTTCTCTTTTTTTTGTCTGGGATATTCTCCCCAGAAGTTATTTTAAAAATAACTTCTATGACAAAAAACATTTTTTACCCAAGTGACGAGATAGTAGGCTCAATAGAAGAGGAACCAAATAATTAAAGTGCGGTTGTAAGATTTAGAAGATTTTCCAGAAGAATTTTAGTTTTATTTAATTCTCTTAAATGGGCCATATAGGTCCACGTTTTCATATAGCCCCCATATAACGGTACCTCCCTATATTCGGTATTTTGATGATTTTAGCGACGTTATTAACCGGATTTGTTTCAAATTTGGTATTTGAAGTTCGAAATGCATACTACAGCCTTAGACAGAAAATTGTGTATGCAGGTTCAGGTCTTCGTGTAAGCCTCACATACCAGTACCTCCCTATATTCGGTATGTTGATGATTTTAGCGACGTTATTAACCGGATTTGTTTCAAATTTGGTATTTGAAGTTCGAAATGGATACTACAGCCTTAGACAGAAAACTGTCTGTGTAGGTCCACGTCTTCGTATAGCCCCCATATAACGGTACCTCCCTATATTCGGTATTGTGATGATTTTAGCCTTATTATTCACCGGAATTGTTTCAAATTACGTATTTTGAGTTCGTAATGGAAACTACAGTCTGTGACAGAAAATTGTGTATGCAGGTCCAGGTCTTCGTGTAAGCCCCACATACCAGTACCTCCCTATATTCGGTATTTTGACGAGTTTAGGTACAATACCCACCGAAATTGTTTGAGACGCGTATTTGAAGTTCGTAATAAATGCTACAGCCTATGGCAGAATGGTTATGATGATTTTTGCTACATTATTCACCGTTTAATTCAAGTTTCGAATTTGAATATGGTAATGACTTATGGCAAATGCCTATGTAGGTCCACGTCGTATAGACACCAATAAAACCGCTATATTCGGTATTTTTAAAATGTTAACAACTTTTTTGAGGATTTTATCTCCAATCTCATTCCAAATGGTGGAGGGTATTCAAAGTTCGGCCCGGCCGAACTTACTGCTTTTTAACTTGTTATTTATTTAAATATTCCACATACTTCCTGGTGGGTGCTGGCGAATATAGTATGATGGTACATGTGCACTTGGAAGAACATATAAAAGAGTCATTGTTTTTACTAGAATAATTTTGCCGGATCAAATGGGTAAACGTTTGAAAGCTTATGGAGTGTACTTCAAAACCAAATATGAAAAAGTTTACGAATCGATTGAAAAATCGAACGAAGAAATAGAATCGAATTTGAAAATCGGCGACATTTTTCGGATTTCTACGCGTCAGTATAACTTTGGCCTGTGCCCTAGCTAAGATATTTCTGCCAGAACAATATTGGTATCAGTGAAACGCCTATGAAGAGTACTTCCGGAACACCGACATTCGTTTTAAAATTCTTTCGTTTTTTGAAGTTTAAAATATTTACGTGCGAAAATGTTTTCCCTTTTCATGAAATAAGAACTCATATATGTTATAGGGTGATCAATAATCAGACATTTATTGCATTACATAAATATATTTGTAAGTGTGTATGTGTGTGTGAAACTAAAATTGATTGAATAAATGTGTTAATGAGCAATCCAACATTGTAGACGATAATAAATATGTTAAACCTACAATTAACAACAGGGCCGATTGTTTCACTCAAATTGTTGCAACTTCTCTTTTTTCCGATGGACGTGAAAATATTAATAATGGTTTAGAGGATTTTCCCTCGCAATAATATTGTTTTAATTCAAATTGTTCGGAACGGAAGGCAATTTTCGTAAAAATTGTGATAGTGATTGTTATAGTATATGTGGCAAAAATATGCCGAGCTTATGCTCATTAATCTTTTTTTACATGGTCCCAATATAGACTGGACAACTGAATTTTGGCTGTCGAAAAATAGTAGTGTGTCAAACATATCGTTATGTTATCATTCTCTTTTTTTTCATCTCGGAAAAACGTCTGGCGCGGATATAAATAACTATTGGCATGCTTGTCCCAAAAAAATTAAAAAAATGTGGTCTACATTTTCAAATATTACCCCGCACTGTGGTGCAGCATTTTTTACGAAGCCGGCATGGCTTTCTTCGAGAATGTGGTAAGCTTAGATGGTGCCTAATTTTAAGGAATAGGCATCATATATTATTTAAGAGATCTGAGATCAGATCATAAAATAGATCAGATTCAGTCAAATTTTTATAGATATGTTTATGAATACATATTGTTGGATGCTATATTATTATTAGAATTATTGGCCATTTGCTACAATTCTTGGGGTCGAATACGAAAACAAATTCCTAT